GTGCTGTGGTTACTTAAGTGGCTGCTGGAATAGGTCTTTTCCATCCTGAAGTAGCTCAGTGGCTGAGAGTTATCTGTGGTCCTTAAAGTGAAAAACTAGAAGCATTTGACAGGAGTGTTTTTGCATACTCCATTTTAGACTTTAGCTAAAATGAACTCAGCTTGATTTACTACCACTGAACACTTTTAGTCTGAAGGCCATGAGACTTTTACCAGAAACACAACAGCACTGATGCTGGAGGAAAGCAGAGCTCTCTGAGCAGTGCCCCAGGGCAGGAGAGATTGCTCTCAAGCCACTGTGCTGCAAGTAAGGGAGCTAAATACTTTTAAGCTTTTCAAGATCATAACATGCAAACAACTGTTTCCAACATTTCCTTCCTCATTTTTTCTCTTGGGTTCAGCAATTCCAACTGTTTTTTTCTTACTCTTCTCAGTAAAGGCCCAGATGGCTAATGTTCCATCTCGGGTAAAGTCCTTCAATGTTCTCTTTGATCCCAGCTCTAACCTGTGACTCTCAATCAGTATGTCTTTCTACCTGCTGACTGTCAACCCCCTTGGCCTCGATTCTGGCCAAACAGAAGCACTGCAGCCCCCTTTCCAGCTCTGTCAGGGGGGAAATCAATAGACTAAGCTGAAACAAACCTCATGTGTTTCAGCCTTCACCAGTTCTTCACAGTCTTTGCGAAATAGCTTCCAAAGATGCATCAACTTGTTGCACCATCTCCCTATTTATTAACTGTGTACTAACCTCAGCCTTCGAGTCAAATTTAATGAGAAGCTGATAGACCTCACAGGAAGGAGTTGACTACCCTGTGACAGTCTTGTGTCTGACACACTCCTGATAAAGTGGAAAGCAAAGAAATGCACAACCTACATGAGCGTGTGGAGACAGGTCAGGCAGAATTTCTAAAACCCGAGTTTAAGTTTCCCTCCTTGGACATGTGCCAAAAGCCATTTTGACTAGGCTGGCTGTACGTGACTGTGGGGACTTGGAGGTAGCTGGATATTTATGCACAATCCATGTCAGTCCACGGTTTGGCTTTGCCTTTTGAAGCTGGTTGGTTTGGCTACTGGAGCAAGCCCAGCATATAATCTAGACTCAGATGGGCCTTGATTGGCATATGTGTGTACCAATCTTGGGAGTAATCAGAGCACCAGCTGGCCCTTCTCCAGTGCAATACAGAAATACCGGGTAGTTGCCAGAACAGTTACCCCGTAGCAACAGGCTCCTCATATGTTCCTGTAGAGAAAAAGTTTGTTTGGGCACAAATAAGTGATTAGGCATGTATTCATGTGTATCTCCATATGGCACGGATTTTTCCTTCTGTGAATCTGATGTGGGAGTTATTGAAAATGTCTGTGTGTACCAGCATCAAAGGCTGCCTGCCTGCAAGACTGTTTCCAGTCTATCCAAAGGCTCTTGAGATGGCTGTCACAGAGCAGAGAATGTAAATAGTTTCTTCTGATTTAAAGGTATCTTGGAAAACAAAGATACACAGCATGAGTGATTATCCTTCTTTATTAATCTCTTTTTTTTTCCTGGGCTTCATCATATTTGTTGGGTTTGCTCTCCAATGCCTCAGCTTCTAACAGTGGCACTTTCCTAGTCCTGTGGCTCTTTGGACTTACTGTGACTCATAGTCCTCTGGCTTAAACTCAGGCTAATTTCCTGTCTTAGTGTTTCTTATTGATTTGAGGAGGCTTAGAGCTAGCCAACAGGAAATGTCAGACACTGACGCTTAAGTGCTGTTTAAGTCATATAAATGAATATAGCCCTAACATGTATTTGTTTTCAGAAACAGTTTTCTTAGTTTGCATTTCCTACATAGAACATCATTCCCTTTTGTCTTCTTTCCTCTGTGCAAGTCTCTCCATATCTCCTCTGCATAGTCACTGCAGAAGGAAACATCAAGGAACAAGTTCACAGAGGCTGGGTTTTGAGCAGTCTTGGTTGCCTTTCCACTACCTACCCACCCAGCCTTCTCCCACCACTCAGGCATGGCACAAAATAGGCCCCACTCTGCCTGCTCAGTCAACAGAAGCTCAAACCTTGTGTCCTATCATTATATCCCTGGCTTAGGCCTCTGTGACCCAAGTGCATTTGTCCTGTCTACACCCTGGACTGCAGCATGCTATTAGGACAGAGGGCTTGAAAATAGGGACAAAAATGCGTTGAGCCAATCAGTGCAGGCTTCCTTCATGAGCTGGAGGAAAAGAAATGCTTTTTTCCCATGAAGATGAGGCTCGGAAAAGCATTTAGAAGTAATTAGTCAATGAGACATCATGAAAATTCAGGTGATTTGCATTCCAGCTAGCTCGGAGCAGAGGGACATCTGTTATAGCTTCTTCATCAACATATGCATTTGCATCTTCCTCTCCTTTTTATGCAAAAATACTTTAATCATTTTATTCTGGTGGTGTATTTCAGGCACACAGGGAGAGTCCTTTGTTCCCCAGTAGGAACAGAGAGATTTGCTTTGACATCCTGCAGTGGTCAAGTGTACAAGAGCAAACCTGATAAAATAATAAGTACTTAAAACCCTATCAAGAAGATATTAGACTCATGCATGTTATTTCAAGTGCTCTTGAATAAGGTGCATGCTATTTGGTAACATCCTCCTATTAGCTTGTTTAGTCATATGTTAAAGGAATTGCTTGTCATCCTAAATTACCAGTTGAGTCAGAACCGTATGAGCCACAATATTTTTCTTCGGTGCAAAGGATTACAGCGTTTTATAGAAAACATGGGTTGTAATTACGCTTTGCAGCAGCAAAGGGGGAGGGAGGAAGAAAGAAGAGGACTAATCTCAGAGGATTTTTTATAAAATACCAAAGTTCATTTGATTTCAGATGAACTTGGCTCCTTATCGTGCCTAGGGGTTTCCAAACTAGAGCTGGGTAGAAAAGTTTCACCAGCCCCCAACCTCCCACTTGGAGGCTGGGAAGAGTGAAGGTGTTTAGTGAGGCTTTCCCATACCTTTGCAGGAAAAGGATGCTTTCCCCTTTGTCTCTAGGAGGTGTGGCACCAAACACTTCCTCTTTCCTCATGCTTGTTTCCATGAAACCTTCATGGAGGCTTCATCCTTGTTTTACCCAAGAATACAATCCAGAAAAGACTGATAAATCCCTGCGACACAAACAATTTCCTTTTGATACTTCCTTATTGCTAAGATGGATGAAAAGCAGGTGATTCTGTACCTGGTCCCATGGACTCCACTGTGAATTAGGGTTGGCAGAAGACAGCCTACCAATGAAGAAGTGTTGCAATGCAGCTATGAATCTGCAGCTGTGTAAGCCATGACAGCAGAGACTGGTAAGGCTGACTTGCAGTGAGGCCTTACTGGGACTGGGACTATGCTCCCTTGAGCTTTGGTCTCATTCTTCTTCATGTGAATCCAGAACACAGCAATGAAGCCATCAGGTTTGTGCTGATTTTGACTATAGCACGCTGTTACTTCAATTAGTACACTGACAATTAGCATAGTGCAGTGTCGTGGGGTGAAGGTAAACAGTCATTGGGAAAATGGGGTGTGCATCATTTATTTCTTAAGAAAACCAAGCTACAGTGCAATTACTACCTACCTGGTGGTAAAGAGGCACCGGGCCTGTTTCTTTCCTCATGCTGATTTCATACCACTTCATATTCATTGATATTTAGTCAACCAATTGCTGCTTCAAGCCAATGTGAAATTCTCTTCAGGCTCATGGTGTCAGAACAATAAAAACAGAGTCTCCCCCCTTTCCCCTTTCTTCTTTCCCCCGTGCATTTGAAGCAACTAATTTTCCATTCTCTGCTGCATCCAGAGTTGTGAAAAATGAGCAGATGTCTTTGCTGATGAATATGAAGTGAATATGATTATTTTTCTCTGCATATTTACATCTCAGCTCTAGAGAGTTACATGTGTGGATTTTTCTGAAGGTAGACGAGACTCCCTATTTTAGATATCTCTCTACCACTCCTCATCACAATGCTTGTTCTGTTGGTTTCCACACACAGGAATAAAAACTGCACAGATTTGCCTCACTGTATTGAAATGTTTTAGTGAAACTGTGAATCATAACTTTTTATGATCTTAGTTCTCTTAGAAGTACACAATAAACCCATACCCAGTAATGAGCAACACAGAGATTGCAAACTGGGATCCACTTTCGAAAGACCAAATTGTTCAATGAACTTGAAAAAACTGCTGTTAAGAAATACTTCTTTTCATTGCTCATAACTAAAGTTTTGAACTCAGATCCGTGAGAAATCATTGCATCTCAGTAAACACTGTCATGGATAAAAAAAATCTCCAATGATGAGTGCCATATTTTATCCTGAGGGACTGAGCTCTTCAAGCTTTAAAGCCTGAACCAACTACTAACTGTTAGGCTTCAAAAGGAACTCCCCTTTTAGGAAAATATATTTTACCTGTCACTGAAATGTTTCTTGCAGGCCATTGTTGCAAGCAAGGTACTCAGTGTAATGAAATACTGAGCTGATATCAGATGTTAATGCATATACGATAGGAAAGTCATATTAAATTCTTCAGACTTCTTTAGGCTGTGAATTCTGGTGCCAGTCATGGTCCAGCATATTCCCTGCTCAGGAGCAGATCTCCCATTGGCATCAAAGACAGGCTTGACCTACAGAATTGACTTTGCAGCCCAGGCTTTCTCAAAATTGAGGGCATTTGCATCTGAGGTGTGGTCTTATGACTCCCATAAAAGAGGAATTTGTGCAGAAGGCTGGCTAAACTAGATCTGAGGCATGCTTTGGCCCATTTTTTTGATAAGGGAAATTAACTGTCCCTTCACAGCCCAAACATAGCACATATCAACCTAGTCATGGAATACTCCTAAAATGAAACATCTGCATTTAAATCTTTTATTAGTGCTATTGACATGTGGTCTGTTAGGTTTTTACACTCTTTGAAGGAAAGAGGTTGGCAGGGCTGGAGCAGGATAGCTCATTCAACACTAATCAAAACACATCTGAAGCCTGACTGCAGGAAGAACCATTTAAGAAAGTGTACCAAGGCAGTAGTTCTCCCATCTCTTCACTCTGTTAAACGCTGCGTTCCATTTGTCTGGGGTCATGTTCTCTAGTCCTTTAACAATCAAATCACTCAGGAGGATACACCTATAGGAGGGGGTCCTCTCAATAGACCTCAGAGAAAAGTTATTCCTGTTGTTCATAATAAACCACTTCAAAGAAGACCAGGCACAAGAAGCTCATGGCCATTGGCTCTAGCAGCTTCAGGGCAACACTTAATGCTGACTATGTGGATTGCTGGTAGGGCTGGCAGCAGGGTTTCCATCTCCGTCTCCTTGCCATCTTTTGCCCCCACACACCTCAGCTGTGTTTTATCCCTCGTCACAATTACACACTTTCCATGGGATGTAGTCAGAGACTCACACAACTCCTGAAAAGCCCCATTCTGCTGATGGGTGGGCAGATCACCTCTTAATAGAAGTTTGTACTGCCAGAGCACCCACCCTTGGCAGCTGCCAGTGTGAACAAGTGTCCATATCGGCCAACGCAGGTCGGCTTCCTCAGATGATTTTTCTCCTGTTATAAGACTCTCTGGAATACCTGTTTCCCCTAGAAAACCAGTGTTGAAGCCATTGAACTGCAGCGTCCTCAGAGATCTTAAATACTTCAGGCACTGCTGCTTTTGAGCAGCATCAGAGCAGCCCCTGGGAAGTATATGCCGGAGGAGCGGATTTGCGAAGCGCTGCATGCCTGTATGCTGGTGTCTCAAGACTCATGCAGGATGCTTGCAGAGGTCACAATGTGCCCGTTGTCCCGGTGCTATTCCACAGTGTAACAGCTAACCTGCAGCAGCATCACAGGGGCTTTCAGGTGGCTGATTTAAAGGTATCTTGGAAAACAAAGCCTAAGCTTTGAGACCAGTGGTAGAAATCATTTGCTCCTCCCTGGTAAGTGTGTGCCCTCGTGGAGGATGTGGCCTTGAAATCCCCCAGGCAGAGGTGGGGGATGAATCCCAGGTGTCTTATTATTGGGGAAGGAGGACTTCTGGACCCCCATACGCACCTCTCTGATGGGCAGGCCTAATCTCAGCAGCATTGTGAGGTGCTGCATGGTGCCTGGCACCTGCCAGCACAGCAACCTGTGCGAGGTCCACCATGCTCAGCCTACCCAGCTCTAGTCCTTGGAGAGAGAAGAAATAAGTGATACCTCAGACGTTGCTTCAGGGTGCTTTAGGAGTAATTTGTTTCTGGAGTCCTCTTAGGTTCCCACTTTGTTCTCCCAATTCTCCGTTTTGTGCTGGCCCTAGCTATGAACCTCTGAAGGACCTGCGTTGTGCCTGACACCATCACCCTGTCTAAGGGTGAGCAGCACCTTCAGAGAAATGGAGGAGATTATGAGGGTAAAAGAGAACTGGTCGTGTGGCATTGTGTGAACACACAGGCTGAAGTGAACGTCAGAGCAGAGGGTGGACAGGTACCACCCTGCTGCCATGGCAAGTTGCACAGGGATACAGAAGCATGTGGCACAGTCAGGGCTGCAGCCAGCCTGTGGAGATGGAAGAGCCAGGGGAAGATGCGTACAAGTGTGTGTGCAGGCACACTGAGAGCAGCAAGTGTCCATCTGGGGAAGTTTATGAAGCAGCAGAAAGTGAAGACTATTTTGACCCATCTGATTTCTTACCTGTCCCTCCTTCTGCATGGAGATGCATATACAGAATTTTACTGCGGGACCAATCCTGTCAGTACAAGACTTGAATTGCTTACACTTAGCTGTACCTATGAGGCTGGGAGTGAAAGCTGGTAGCATTGTCAGCCTTCTAGATGGGGCTGAGCAACACAAATGTGTCAGTCTCTGTTGATGGCACGCATTTCCTTGCCCACCTCTGAAACTGAGATACCCGACAGCCCACATCATTGCCTCTGGAACAGGCTTCCTTCTTTCCAATGCAGTGTGAAACTGTGAATCAAAAAATGTCTGAAGATGGACATGGCCAGTGGGGTCTAGCTCAGCTGTCTGGATGCTCTCTCTCCTTGCTGAGGCAGATGAGTGGTGGGGCACATTATGTTAGCAGCATCACATGGAGAACAGAAGTCTAAAATTTAATATAAGAAGAAGTGTTTATCCCCAGAAAGAAGCCTATGTGGTTTGTTAGCCAGATGCATAACGATGGCAGATTTGGACTGCACACATATGAGGAAAAATATGTAGTACATATTCACATGAGAATACAAAATAAAATAATATTGACTCATCTGTATTGGGTGATACACTTTTCTCTTTTACTGTTAGTTTTTGTCCTTAATAGATGTATACCAGGACAATAATCTGACATGAGTAGTCGTACTGGAGTTATTGGGTTATTAGTTCTGAAAAGCACATGTTTAGAGGCCTAATTAGGGCCTGAGGTCCCCCAGAATGTGGATTTACGGACCTCACTTTTCAAGAACTGGATGTAAAGTGTCAAAAGAACTACCTGTAAAGAACTCTTATTCCCTAATTCTTCTTGGTGCCTGTGACACCCACTGGAACCACAAATCATATTCCCTGTTACCTAAATTGAAGGTGTCATTTCCTTGTCTCCTCCCAAAGAGGATTTACTTAATTATGCATGAGTTGGAGCATGCCATCCTTGAGACAGACACAAAAAGGACACCTTGCTTTTGTTACTCTTGCTTTCTAGCTACCTTCTGAATGTGAATGGACACCAGTAAGAAGCAAGTCAGGGGAGCAACTGTGGTAGCATCCTTCTGAATGTGAATAGATATATGAATGTGAATGGACATCTGAATGTGAATAGACATCAACAGGAGGCAAGTCAAGGAAGCAACTGTGGTAGCATCCAAGCAGTGTGCCCAGATATGAAAGTGGAGTAGGGCTTCCCCATCCTCTCCTCCCTCTTGTCCCTGAGACCTCCTGGCCATGGCTGGCTAAGGAGAGCTCTAACACTGTCTGTCCTGTTTCTCTGAGATCTAACCCTGTCACCAGCACCAGGCAACAGCTTTGTGCTGCTGTCAATGCAGGCTGATAGCCAGATCCTAGTGCCCAGTTTATCTGTGTGCTCTGAGACTACTTCATGAGGCAATCTGAAACACACCAGAAGTGGTCAAAAGCACAGTCCTCTTCTGAACTGGACCACACATGCAGGTACCACCGGGGCTGCTCGGGAAGATTAGGCTTGATGTTCCTCAGTTTGGACTCCCTATAGCAAACCATTGCTCTGTCACTCCAGGCTTTTGTGGTTTTGCAGCATCAGGGCAAATGCTGAGTGACAGAGCCTGCTGTGTAGGCTGAGTGCTTGTCTGTAATTTCATGTGCCAATGAAGGGACTTGGCAAGGGAGGTGCAAACCAGCTTTTCTACCTGTGAGGCCTTAGGCATGGGCAAGGTTTGTGTCACTGTGTTGTGGTTCTATCCCGGAAGGATGTGGTGATGCTCTTTTGTCAGGTGGCATCGCTGTGCCTGTGTCTTTGGCTGGCCCTGGCTTCTTCAGCCCCCATGAATTGGTTTAAGCCTAACTGGTTATGGAAATACCAATGATAATGCAGCTGATATTAGTGACATGGGAGGGATGGACTACTTTCATGTCTTTTTTGAAGTAACTATTTAAGAAGTGGGTTCTCATTTGTCTCATTCATATACTTATATGACATAAACCCACCTGTTAACCTGCTTTGAAAACCATTTTTCATGGTCCCAGCATCTCACCATCATTTAAAGAACTTGGCAGCAGACATAAAGCACTAGACCAAGACCCCAGAATACATATTTTATATCCCGTGCTACCTTTAGTCTGCTGAGGTACTTTTTGCCTGTTTTCCCTTCCACTCTGGGTCTACATGTCTACTCAGTGAGCACCTGGGGTGAGGGTCTTTTCCTTCTTTTGCAGTTTTAAACTTCTGCCATTCCCTAGCAAGGCCAAACAGTGCAAAATCATTGGCACAGCCAGAGTGTATTTGGGATTTGGGAAAGGGCACTTGTGATTGCTCTTATCCTTCAGACACTGCACTGGAGTCTCCTGCTCTCGCCCTGCTGCCCTGCCATCAAGACCTGCCTCTGGCAGTAAGGCAGTGCCCTGAATGTTGGGAGTCTGGGCATCAGCACTCAGCAGGGTCAGCAGCCTCCTGCTCCCCCTGGGAAGGAGGTGGGAAGCCTGGCCCTTGCCTTATCCTCCATCACTGCCTGGGTACAAAAGTTGGGACTGAACAGTGACACACACACACACCTCTCCTCCCTCCAATGCACTTTTTTGATGCTTCACCAAATTCTATTGTGCCACTGAGCTAAATAACAGATTTACCAATTACCCACGAACAAAGTCCCTATTAATGTAGCAATTAGGCTACAAATTATCAGTTACATACTAATTACCCATTTCAGTAGTAATTATGTGATTAGGTTACGAGTCACCACATTCTATACACAAGCTAAAAATCAGCACAAACCCTTTATTTTAAAATGCCAAATAAAAAGATAATGAAATACAGAACATAATGAAATACACATAAACAGCAGGCATGATGTTAGGCAAACAGTGGATGATTTTACTGCTGTATTATCTTGCATGCAGCAACTAAAATGAAGTTGCTAACTTTGAAATTCAACATTTTATTTTTACCCAAATAAAATGTTTTGTAAGTTAGGGGTTTTTTTTCTTTTTTTTTTTTTTCCAAACCCAACACTTTATTCTACAGGGAATTTGGTTCTCTTCTAGTCTTATATGGAGTGAAAAAAATTAGGATTCTTTTTCTAACAAATACCATATCCAATTTAAATAATCCGTTTTCCCTCCTATTTGTCTGATGAAGTCCTGAACACTACCTAAAGTCAGTCCCATGTCAGGGTAGCATTACTGGTGTCAAATAATGAGACTTTCAAAAAGTGTATAATTTTAGCTCTTAGCCCCTTGTGGGGAACCAATAAGAGAAGCAGGTGCCAAAAATCAAAGGTGGCCTCAGGATGGAAACAGAAAAAAGATGAAAACTTCAGAAAATAAATGAAGCCCCTACCTAAAGTGAGAGCCCTAAACTCCTCAGAACAGAGCTAGAACAACTGCTGGTGGTTTCCCACAAGGACCAGCACGACACCTCGTGAGGAATGGTGAAATTTGTATTCCAGCATTAGGGACTATGCCAGGGTTGACCTAATCAGCCTTCCCGTTGGTGGCATCACAGCCATAGGTTTCTTGGCACTGTTGCATGGTTGGAAAAGTTGATAAACTGGAGGACTGATAGACAGGAGAAACTGTCACTACTGCTAGAAGCCATGATGAAGTCTCCTCTCGGTGCCGGCACCAGGCAGAAATGGATCCTTCTCCAAAATGGACAGGGATACTTGCTACCTTCTCGGAACACTTCCACATAGGTAGAAGGAACAAACCTAGAACTGCAAATGTGTTTTTTGTGCTTTCAAAGCACCTCTCATTTTTCAGGTCTGAATAGCTGAGCTGCTGTAATTGGAGCATGGCTACTGAGTGCAGTCAAAAGCAGTGAGCATAAATAGCAGATCCTGGCTCAAACCAAGCAGTTGTTAAACCAGACATGGTAATGAAGCCAAAGGCAATGGGGTCCAAAACTAACTCAACTGCTTAACTGGCTTCTGCTGGAGACAGTGTCTGAGGAATATGCACCTGTCCAAAAAAGGAGATGTCTGTGTTGGAAAGCCGAATCTCTGGAATTCAAAGAAGTGTGGAAAGCCAAGAGAGCGGTGTGGATTTCATCTTGGCTATCAGCTGGAATTATCAGCCTTGGAACATGTCTTACAAGATCAGGCTCTGGAAACTCCCTATAAGGAAATGGCCCACATGTAGTAAATCATTTCCAGGCAGTTGGCTTGGCCCAAACAGTGGCAAAACCCCATAATAATAACACTATATCGTGGCAGATGAAGATAGACACATTAAAAAGAAAAAAAAGAGAGCAAAATCACAGTAGCAAAATGTGAAGCTACAGAGAGAGTAAAAACCTGCTTAAGAAATGTTAGGAAATAATGTTTCCTAGGTTACAAAATAGTTAAGATTTCTTTTCCTGTCAGTAGCAAAAAGCAAACACACAAAGCTACATCAAGGAGGCTGAGTGGAACCAGCAACACCCACCCCACAGACACACAGTTTTA